TTTTTGCGTTACATGCCTAACAGGTTTGAATCATCGCTCGTTGCCGGGAAGAGCGAGTTTATGATCATTTGCCTAATTTCGGCCATCGGTCATATTTTATTTTCAGCTGTCGTGTTCTTAAGTAATTGAAACGGCGAAATTATAGTCAAAAAAAACCAGTGCACGTATCTTTGAGTAATGAGCCGAATTTAAAATTTCGCCAAATTTGGATGGTGCTACGTAACTTATAGTCACGTGCTTATGTTTGGGAACGAGAGGGAAGATGTAACCGGGTCGCCAGTTACGTATGAATGAGCAATAAAAATTAAAAAAATCATACACACGAAACTCTATTGAGGCACGTTAAATCACGTAACAGTTTTAGCAAGCTATCCGTGACGAAAGGTGACAAAAAAGACGAGAATGGCTACAAATAGACGCAATTATCTAATTGGCCGAGCCTTTTTGGCGAATCACGTGGTTCGGAGTATAAAACATATAACGCGACTCATGTTTACATTTTACATTTCTACACGTACTCTGCATTCTCAACACAACCGGTTTCTAACAATAACCATGTCTGACTCCGACGACTTTCCATCGCCTGTTCCCAAGGGAAGAAAGCAGCCGAAGAAAATTACGAAAACCAAGGAGGCCAAAACGACACGAAAAAGTCAAAAGAGCAATAACGACTTCATGACTTTTGACGAACCTATTGTGACGAACGGTGAATCCTCTTTGTCGTCTCGGAAAGGGAAAAAAATCGAGGAGATATACCAAAAGAAAACTCAACTAGAACATATCTTGCTGAGACCCGACACGTATATCGGTTCCACAGAAATAATTACCGAAAAGCTATGGGTTTACGACTCGGATACGGATACTATGCAATACAGGTAAGAAAAGTTTCTTCTTTGCTTCGTCACTGAGTGAAACCGTGTGTTTACATTATCTCTCGGTCATAAGGGACGTGAGCATAGCGCCCGGGCTCTACAAGATTGTTGACGAAATCTTGGTAAACGCCGCTGATAATAAGGTACATTTCATGCATTGTGAGTCCTTTGTTCTCCATGTGAATTTGGACCGAAACACGAGTCATTCTTACTTTAATAGATTCGTGATCCCTCGATGAATACGATAAGGGTTAAGATTGACAAGCAGCAAAACCTAATTTCAATATACAACAATGGAAAAGGAATTCCCATAGAAGTACACAAGGAAGAGGGCATCTATGTACCGGAATTGATCTTTGGACACCTCCTTACCTCTAGTAATTATGATGATAACGAGAAAAAGGTCACCGGCGGTCGTAACGGCTATGGTGCAAAGTTGACGAACATTTTTAGTACCGAATTTATAGTAGAAACGGCTGACAAAAGCATTAACAAAAAATACAAGCAGGTGTTTAGGAATAACATGAGCGTCACTGAAAAGCCACAAATTACTTCATATTCCAAAAAGGATGAATATACCGAGATCACTTTCAAACCTGACTTGGCAAAATTCAACCTGACAGAATTAACTGACGATATTGTTGCATTGTTGAAAAAGCGCGTGTATGACTTGGCGGGATGCGTCAACGGTGTCAAAGTTTATCTGAATGACGAACGTGTCCAAATTAGGAACTTTAAGGATTATGTCATGAAATATTTATCATCAAGTGTCGCGTCAGAAGAATCATCGGCAAGATTACCGTTTGTACACCATGAAATTGTTAATGACCGTTGGGAAGTCGCGGTTGCGGCTAGTACCGATGGACAATTTCAACAAGTTAGTAAAACCTATTTCGTTATAAAACCGGTGTAATTATTTTGACAATGGCACTTGTCATAAAATAATTAATCAAAATTTAATAATTAAAAGGTGAGCTTTGTCAACAGCATCGCAACAACCAAAGGTGGTACACATGTTACTCATGTTTTGGATCAACTTATCGGAAAAATAATCGAAACCGTAAAGAAGAACAAAGAAGTCAAGGATGCAAAGTTAAAACCATTTCTTGTGAAAAATCATCTATGGATTTTTATAAACTGCCTGATCGAGAATCCAAGTTTCGATTCACAAACAAAGGAAACTCTAACATTGAGACAACATGCTTTTGGATCAAAGTGTAACATTAACGATAAGTTTGTCGAAAAAGGTATTTTCAAATATACCTATTTTCTATCTTTTTTTATTATCAGTTTCTCACTTTTCTTTTGATAATATAGTTCTTAAATCGGAGATTGTCGAAGAAATTATTCATGAAGTGAAATCTAAACAAGAGTCGGAGTTAAAAAAAAGCGATGGCGGGAAAAAATCAAAGTATATATATATATTAGTGATTGCAAGAGTTTATAATAATCGCATTAATATGTTAATTTCATAATAGGGTAACCACCGTCGAAAAGTTGAGCGACGCAAAAAATGCTGGTTCACGAAAATCTGCAGAGTGTACTCTTATACTTACCGAGGGTGACTCGGCCAAGACTCTTGCTGTTGCTGGATTATCTGCTGTTGGCAGGGACTCTTATGGTGTATTTCCGTTAAAAGGAAAATTGCTTAATGTACGCGAGGCTAGCACTGCACAGATTCTGAAGAATGAAGAAATCCAAAATATTAAGAAGATTCTTGGACTGCAACATAACAAAAACTACACTTCAGTAAACGATTTACGTTACGGTCATCTTATGATAATGGCTGATCAGGTAAAAATGCATAATGTTACATCTATATTCTTATTGCATTATTTGGTGATTTCGTTGTTCTCAAAGTTACCAATATTTTTAATAATAGGATCATGACGGTAGTCACATAAAAGGACTAATAATTAATTTCCTGGACCATTTTTATCCGTCTTTGATGAGGATTCCCGGGTTTCTTAAAGAATTTATTACTCCCATCGTTAGGGTATGACAAATCTATATTTAGAGGTGAATTGTGAATATGTTTTAGAACTACTATTGAAAAGGTAAACTTTTATTATAGTGTACAAACAACAGAACTCATCAAAAGATTAGCTTTTTCACCGTACCCGAATATGAAAATTGGAAAAAGGCTCACAATGATGGAAAAGGCTGGTCCATAAAATATTACAAAGTATCAATAGTTTTTATTTTATTATCATTATTTTATTATTTTGAATTGTTGTAAATACAAATAAAACATATTTGATTTGTCTTGTTAGGGATTGGGTACCAGTAGTCCTGCTGAAGCGAAAGAATACTTTTCTGCGATTAATCAGCATATGAAACCTTTTAGGGAAGTGCAGGATGGCGAACGCGCTCTAATAGATATGGCTTTCAACAAAAAAAGAGCAGATGAGCGAAAAGAGTGGTTAAGAAATTATACGGTATGCTAATAAAAATGGCTAAATGAATATGAAGTTTATCTGGCATCTCTTTCTAACCTACTATTTTTTTTTAGCCCGGAACCTATATCGACTATAACGTTAGCGAAATTACAGTATCTAATTTCATCAACCAAGAACTAATATTATTCAGCATGGCTGATAATGTTCGATCTATTCCATCAGTTCTTGATGGATTAAAACCCGGCCAACGGAAGGTTTTGTTTTGTTGCTTCAAGAGAAATCTTACGAAAGAGATTAAGGTGAGTATTTATAATTACTGATGTGATATTGGACTAGATGTTTACAATGTGTATCAAAATAGGTTATTCAACTCGCTGGATATGTCTCGGAGCATTCTGCTTATCATCACGGAGAAGCAAGTCTCCACTCCACCATTGTGACTATGGCTAACAATTTTATTGGTTCGAACAATGTTAACCTCTTAGAGCCAAGCGGTCAATTTGGTTCACGCATACAGGTAAAAATAATTTCTTGCGTAGCTTTTTTTTTTTCAAGCACGTGGATATTTATGTTATTGATTTATTATCACTATTATTAGGGAGGAAAAGATTCGGCAAGCCCTCGTTATATCAACACGAAGCTTAACCCATTGACACGATTGATATTTAACCCTCATGATGATAACTTATTGAAATATTTAAATGATGATGGTAACAACATTGAACCTGAATGGTAAGGGTCTTAAATTATCTTTATCACATAGACGTTTATTTATAAGAACGCTTGGTCGATTTTTAGGTATTTGCCTATTATTCCCATGGTTCTTGTCAATGGTTCAGAAGGCATTGGGACAGGTGAAATGTTTTTTCTAAATCGTACTTAGAAATCATGTGTGATAATTTAATCATTTCTTTTTCGATTATATTAGGGTGGAGTACTTCTATCCCTAATTTTAACCCAAGTGATATTGTGGCTAATTTAAAAAGATTAATGGAAGGGAAAGAATTGGAACCAATGCACCCCTGGTATCGTGGTTTCAGGGTATAAAAAAATCAATGTTTGATATGGATTTTGTTGATTTGTTCGTTATATTTAAATAGATTTGTAATTCGATATAGGGCACAATTGAAAAAATCTCTGGTGATAAGTATAAGAATTCAGGAATAATGGAAAGAGACGCGGAAGTTGATAACATGGTTCACGTTATAGAATTACCAATTAAAATCTGGACTCAGAACTACGAAAATGATCTTAAAAAATTAATGCCCGAGGATAACAAATCTACTGGTCTTATTAAAGTATGATATTGCAAAATTTTTTGTGCTCATGTTTGTTGTATACCTTTAAATCTAATACTTGTTAATAGGGTTACCATGACGTCAGCACTCTTTGGAGGCCGAATTTTGAAATCCTATTGGAAGATCATCTTGCTGAGGAGGGTGACGAAGAACTTGAAAAAAAACTGAAGATTATATCTAGCCTCACAACTTCAAACATGGTTTGTTTTGACCGTGAAGGTCGGTTGAAGAAATATAGTTCACCCGGAGAGATACTCGAGGAGTTCTACCATCTCAGATTGGAATATTATTTCAAACGGAAGGTGAGTGCAACAATATTATGGTTGCGTTAGAGGCGCGCAAGTTAATTAGATCATCTCGTCGTCGAACAATATTACTTTTGAAATAGGATTATCTGTTAAAAAAACTTGAGCTCGAATGTAAGAAATTGCAAAACAAGAATCGGTTCATTAAAATGAAGATTGATCACGAACTCGAGTTCGAGGGATTAAAGAAAGTGGCCATAGTAAACCTACTCGAACGTAAAGGATTTGATAGAATACCTCATAAAGTTGAAGATGCCGAAGGCGAAGAAGATGAAAATATTGGCGATTATGACTATCTTATGAAGACACCCGCGTGGAGTTTTAGTGAGGAAGAGGCATTTGTCATCCAACACAACTAATTTGAATATGATTATATATACTTATATATCTCTTACATATAATGATGTTATTCTTTTTGGCTATTGATTCACCAATATTTTTTATTTGTAAATAGGCAAGCAAGTGCCAACGTCAGTACAACGAAAAGAACATCGAATTATCGATTCTACGCCAAAAGCATCCCAAGCAACTTTGGAATGAAGATCTTGATGAGTTTTTAAAAGAGTGGGAGGTAGTGTAGCCATTTGTATCCTTTCTTTGAGATCTTAATTTTTGAAATCAGTTACTGAAAAAACACTGCTATTACCATTGTAGTCTGCCGAAAACGAATTCAATAGGATGGTGGACGAGGCTCCGAAAAAAGATGAGAAGAAAAACCGACGTAAAATCGCAAAAGTCACTAGTAAGGGTAAAACAAAATCAAGCGATTTAAAGCCTGAAGAAAAGACCAAACCAAAAGTGGCTGAAGTCATCAAAGCAAAACCTGTAACTAAGTCTGCTCGGGGCATTAAAAAGGCCTCTCAAGGTAAAAAACAGATAGATGATTACTTTTCATTAAAAGAAACTGAAGTTTCGGGGCCGAGTGCGGAATCAACTGATCTGAGTGATGTCGAGGTGGTTGACCTTTCATCTAAGCGATCTGCCGATGACGACCCAGATGAGCGACCTGTTACTAAACGTATTCGAAGGAATCCCTTGAAGGTTCTAAATATTTATGATATTGAATCTTTTGATTCAGAAAATGAATACGAATCCGAAGAAGAATCTGAACCTGAAATGGAAGAATTTGAAGTTCCTGACGATAGTGATTCAGAATTTGAACCTGCGAAACGAAATTCTCGCCAGAAGGTCGTTTCAAAGAAGCCGCCGGCCAAACCACAAGAGGTATTCGATCTTGAAGATAAAGAAGAATTCCCTGCTAAAGTTGTGTCTACAGGACGCGGCAGAGGTCGCGGTCGTGGCCGTGGTGCTCGCACAGTTTCTTCTCGTCAGACTGCAAAGAATTCAGCTGACGCTGAACTCACGAATGCCGTGCATTCTTTGCCATCGAAACGTACGACTCAAAGCGTCGCTACAAAGTCCAATTCGACTCATCAATTTGAAGAAACTCGCTCACCAGAAAAGGTGTTGACTTCTGATGAGTCTGAAGAGGATAAATCGTACGCGACATTCACAAATACTAAAGCCACGAAGAGCACTCACACAACCGCATCGACATCTCGCAAGACTGTCAAGCCCAAAGTTTTAGAAGTGTCATCGGACGAAGATGAGGATATGCCAACCCTCGATCAGGCCATCATGCAACGTATAACGCGTCCAGTACGTGCGGCAGCATCGAAAAGACCAATTTATGTAGACTTGAGTGACGAAGATATGCAAGACGATGATGATGATTCTTTCCGATTGAATTAAAGATATGAACATTTATTCATTTACTACATTTATTGCACAATGCATCCACCGTTCTTATTCCTTATTAGCCTTCTATTAAATTTGTTTTAAGAAACTAGGTAATTAAACTTTACTGATAGATCGATTAATGCCATTTATGCTGTACTTTTTTCATAACGTTAAGCAATCAAACGCGGATTGATCTATTTAGCAATTTTCATGCATCTTGATATTTGACATTGTGCACTATGGAAAATTCAATGGATTATTTGGTAAAAAAACTGCTTTGTTAATTATAAAATAAATAAAGATAATTTATGTACTGTATATATTCTAAACAAATTGTCGATATTATTTTTAATGGACATGTTAAAATATTTTTATTAAGTGGAAATACAAAGAAAATGTCAAATTTACAAGTTTATATCGTTTTTTAAAATTAAGTTGATATATTTAAACTATATAGCTATTAATAGAAGTTTTAATAAATTCCATTTATATTTTTTTTAATTTCATTATTATTTTTTATAATAAATGCTAAATGTTGAATAATATTGACTTTTAGCTTATAAAATTATTCAAAAATAAAAAATAAATCTATATTATTAAAATTTGGATATACTGTATGTATATTAGATAAAAATTCTTAGAAATACAGTACAATCAATATTCTAATTTAATTATATTTTGATAAAATAATTTTTTTGATTAGAACTTTAAATATATAATTAATAATTATTTTTATTTATTTATTTATTTTTAAAAAAAAGGCAATTGATTTTTTACTAATATATTTTTTAAAAAAGAAATTTTTTAATTAAAAAAAACCCCTATTGTTTTAATAAATAATAATTTAAATTTCGATAGAATTTTTCTATTAAGTATATTTTAAATTTAAAGTTTGAATTTTTTATTGTAATTATTTCTAGATATAACTTTTATTTTAAAATTATTTTTTATATGGATAATTATTTTTGAAAATAAATTAAAATTTAAAGTATATATCTATTACCTTAAAATTATAATTCTATATTTCAAATCATGTAATTTTATTTAATAAAAGAATATTTATTTAAAAGCTTAGATATTAGATGTTTATATAAAAAAATATTTTTTAAAATTAAATCATTAATTATTAAGAAATTATATAATAAAATTGTTATTGATTTTATATTTTAAATTTTTGAAGATTTAATTTTTTAACAATAAATCAAAATAGTTATTTTTAAAATTATATAATTTTATTTAATAAAAAAGTATTAATTTAAAAGCTTAGGTTTTAGACATTCATATAAAAAAAAGTTTATTAAAGTAAATTATTAGTTATTGAAAAAATTACATAATAAAACTAATTACTAATTTTTAAATTTAAAATTTACAAATATTCTTTTATATCTAATTTTAAAATTTCAATTTTCATTATTTCTTTTTTAAATTTTAGAAAAATTTTTTCTTTTTTATTAAAATCTTATAATTTTTATCCTTTATTTTTTAATTCTTATTTAAAATTACAAAAAATTCTTATTATTTCAATTTTATATAATATTGCTTTATAATTATTTGGTAATTAATCAGAATAATTATATAAATAATTTTTATATATAAAAAATTTTTTTTCAATTCACAAAATAATTTAAAAACTATATAAATCTTTCATGATATTAAAATTCTACATAATTTTATTTCTTTTTTTGAAGAAGTGGGAGTTTTTTCCAGTAGGTAAACATTATCTCTTTATTCATTATTATATATTGAATATATATATTAAGAAAAAAACAACATCTCTTGAGTACATATTGTATACAACAAATTAAATGCTAGCTTGTCTACTTAATCACTATCTAACTAATATTATAAAAAATTTCAAAAAGCAATACTAAAATATTAGATAACAAAGTAGCAGTTATGCTTACTTATTTGACAAAATTTTATAAAACCTTTTAATTTTTAAAGTATAAAGTAAATAAAAAGAAAATAACAAATATAACTAAAACTAAAACTAAGTTGAATAAACTATAGAATTTATAAATAGAAATCCAATTATTTTAATTATTTTCTCAAGAGAATCTCCAGATAGGTGTATAGTCTCATTTCTTTGGCTCTTTGATTATCATATAAAAAAAAGTACATGTGATGTTACTTGTTGTTATAGTTGTTATTGTGATACAAAACCAGTTTGAACATGTTCAGTTTTTGTTTTGATTTTTATGCGAAATTTGATTGGATAATTATAGAATACTAATCTTTTGAAGAAAATAAACTGATTTCAGTTTTTTGAAAATTTTGGAATGGCACTGTAAATAGTACCATAGTAAAGTTATATGTGAAGGTTGTATTAAAACAAACAATAGGTCTAACAACTTTGTTTGAATATGTTTTTTGAAAAGTGTTTGACTTAGCAAGTATAATAGTATTAATGTAACCTGTTTTTGTGATATAGTAAAAAGAAGAAATGCAAGAGAACAAAAGAAAAGAGAACTGCCATGAGTCTTTTCTCATGTAACTGAAGGATAAGCAAGACTCCTAAACTTGAGTAGACTTCGACCAGAGGTTCCATCTTATTGTACCAGTTGTCTTGAAAGTTTTTAAGTTCCTAAGCTAAGGTTCACTTGTAATAAAAAGTGTAAAACATTTTTTCTTGTTTAAAATTACCATAAAAGAAAAATTTTTAACAAAACAAACATAATCAGGAGAAAGTTTTTTTACATAATTTTGTTTTTATAAAATATAAATTTAGCATTTTATTATTAATTGCTAATTTATATAACAAATCTAAATTAAAAATATTGATTTTAATTTTAGCAATAAACAATTTTCTACTATTTTTAAAAAATCTAATAATAAATTTTTTAATTTAAATAATTATCAAAAATATATTTCTACTTTGAAACTTAAATTAATAAAAAAACATTTGAACTTATTATTGATTTTTTTTTACAAAATTTCAGATTATCAACTTCTTTTTGTTAACCTATAATATACTATATATATATATATATATTTAGAAAATATTAATCTTGATTTTAATTCTTCTTTAATATATTATTTGAAAAAACAAAAAAAAAACAATTTATAATAAATTAAAATCATAAAATTTTAATCTAAGATTAAGTTTTAATAAATTTTATAAACTTTGTTTTAAAAAATTTCAAAAAGTATAAAAAAAAACTAAGATATATTCAATTTGTATTGAAAGAAAGAAATTCAAAAAAAATTACAACAAATTAATCCAAATAATATTCTTATTATTATTCTTTTTTTTTTTTTTTTTTTTTTTTTTTTTTTTTTTTTTTTTTTTTTTTTTTTTTTTTTTTTTTTTTTTTTTT